TCTGATGAAGGGTCTAGGCCCGAAACGTCAGCGTTCCTGCTCCTATGATGCTGCTTGGCCTGCTGTGTTCATCCAGCTCTACACCTTGTTATCTCAGATTCTCCAGCATCTGCAGTTCCTACTATCTTGAGTTTCTGTTTAAGTTTGATGCTCATCTGTGACACCTTCTTAAGCTGCTTTAAGAATTACATTTCAGATTGTTGAACATACTCACCAAATTATGGCATGGTTGAAACACGGCACTGTGAATTATTTTACATCGTTTTTCTGCCCAAGACTTACGATATGGATTTTTGGCACATGGATATACAACTTCAGTCACATCATCACACATGGGATCTTCTTTCCAAGAATTGACAAAGCTCATTAAAGTGAAAGCTGAGTGTTGGCTCTGAGTTATCAATTCATCTTTAATATTACCATTGGCATTGCCACAGAGTCCACAAACTGAAATCTGAGAAAATGTAACAGTGTTATTGACTTTTAAGGTGATTGAGCATGCATTTTGTTTGATTTCAGTTATATTATTTGTCATTCTAATAGGGAGAATCAATTATCCATTGATAACAGTAGGAACTAATGGGATGGCTTAAACTGACACTCCTTGCACGTTTTTCTTATATATATGACATAGCAATAGCTCAGATCATCAAAGCAATAGAGTCCAACAATGTATTCTCAACATTAAAACACATTGTATTTTGGGCACCTCTTCCTCCTGGGTGGGTGAGCTGTGAGACAGGACAAAAACCAAGCTACTTGCTAAAGAGCAAAGACAACAGCCAATAGGTTATAATTGACTTATGACATCCATTTAGAAAGCCAAACATGATTCCAAATTTGAGAAAGTGTGCTAATAAGGACTGCTCTTTTTCCACCATTTAGATCATTACACAGTTGCCTTGAGTGAGAGACAAGTCAGTGGCTATGTTTACAGTCATTTCATTAAGTGGAAATATGCTCACAGCATTTTCTTTGGCAATCTGGTCAATAGCATGGCTGATGTTCTTGTAAAGTCTGCTAATCTTGGTGTTTATGTTTTAATGCTGGAATCTTAGAAATAGGAAAATATCTGGTAAATATGGCTCAAACATAAAAGTCTAACAGTCAAAAAGATATTTGGCATTTAATGTTACAGAAAACATCTTTGGAAATGGTATCAGAAAAGCTAATTAGCTGAAAATGTTAAAAGCTAGATGAACTAACAGGCTGCTGTTTTAGGTCATTGTGAGATGCAGGCTCTATCTGGGCAATCAGATTCCCTCCCAACCACCATAATGGTGATCATAAATGGACACCCTACTCAAACTCAACTGTCTCAGGAACTGTGGAGTTTTGCAAGATACAAGATACAAGATTGACAATGATATCCACAACCTTAGATTCACCAATTTTAAAAAGCTTGGCATTGGTACATGCTCATCTAGACTGGGAGATTCAAGCAACTCTTCAAAAACGGACAATGCTAGAGAAACTCAGCAAGTGTGATAGTGGCTTTTGAAAGGGAAACCAAGTTAATGTTTCAAGTCCAATATTACTCTTCTTCAGAACTATCCTACTGGGCTATAATCATTGGAGTTTAGAAGGATGAGGGGGGATCTAATTGAAACTTACAGAATACTGAATGGCCTGGGCAGAGTAGATGCTGGGAAGATGCTTCCATTGGTAGGAGAGGCTAGGAGCTGAGGGCACAGCCTTAGAGTAAAGGGAAGACCTTTTAGAACGGAGGTAAGGAGAAACTTCTTCAGCCAGAGAGTGGTGAATCTATGGAATTCACTGCCACAGAAGGCTGTGGAGGCCAGGTCATTGAGTACGCTTAAGACTGAGATAGATAGGTTCTTGATTATCAAGGGGATCAAGGGTTACGGGGAGAAAGTGGGAGAATGGGGTTGAGGAACTTATCAGCCATGATTGAATGGCAAAGCAAGCTCGATGGGCCGAATGGCTTAATTTCTGCTCCTATGTCTTACAATCTCACAGTCTTATTAACTCTGTTTCTCTCTCCACAGATGCTGCCAGACTTCTGAATTTCTCCATTTTGGTTTGTTTCATGTTTCATGATTGTCATAATGCTAAAAACTGAGGGTAATAACCCTGACGATTGCAAAGATAAAAATCTTAAAAAGCAAAATTCTCATCAAGGCATGGCAATGAATAAAAGGATACCATGGTGCAAACACCATGTTTTAAATAATGAACATTTGAGAGCAGCTTATCTAAGTACTGAGGATAATTTGTAAATCAGAAGATTACAGTTAATCGAATGGGACAAACCAATTTTTTCACAATAATCATGTGCAAAGCCAAAACATGAACTTGCTTCCTACAGAAATAAAGGCAATAGCTATGGTGTGGAGTTCAGAAACATGTCAATCTTTTAGAAAACTAGTTATCTGCCAGTTTACAGGAAGCCAGGAAGTTCACATTTATGTTAAAGAACTTTTTTGTGGAGGATATCTGACATGAGATAGGGGATTTGAGAATGCCAGAAGTTATACAGTTGCTGGCTGTATTCCCATTTTCTCATGATAGCATTTATCAATCCCTCCAAACTATTAACAATATGAAGACCATACGGTTAAAATTCACAATTGAATTATGAGGCACTTATCACAATGGTTACTTATGTCTCTTCATTCTTGTAAATCTCTCTGCCTCTTTGATCCCCACAATCATTTCTCCTCAGCAGCCACTGCTCAGATATGTCAGATTAATGGTGACCACCACTATACCATGGACATATGTATAATTACCTCTCAAATGCTATTTTCAAATCTCCCTATGATAATGGGTTGGATTTTAAGTCCCCCTGGCAGAACTTTTGAAGGCAGTGGGGCTCATAAAATAAAGTGCATGGCCTACTTGTTGCCTTTCTGCCCATGCCAAATTAGATTTTCTGGCATATGGTCGAAGTATCAGGCAGCCTGCAATGAAGAACACTTAAAGGTCTCATTTTAACTATGCCACATTATTAATAGAGACAAGTAGCTACCTAAGCTACTTGAAATCCCTTCAACTTTAGCCTGATAGAGACAATATCACAGACTTATCTCAAGTCCAAATTCTTCTTTGTCAGGACTGCCTGTAATCCCAGGAGTGGCCGACACTTCCACCTGGTGCTGTTGCAACCAAAGAGCTGCCAGGCATCTAACTGGCAAATAATGTGGCAGAAATCTCATCCAAGAGCAATTAATGCTGCTCCCAGCATAAAATTGCTGAGTGGCAGTTGTTACTATGGTGGTTGGGCATACCACTAGCAGGTACTCCTCCAAGTTCAGCCCATTATTTGGCAGCATAGAGCCTTTCATCAGTAGAATGACATAATTCAGTTTTATCATTTCAGTTTCTGTATAATTCATTAACCCAAGATTGGTGTCATACTCTCAAACTGTTTATATCAAATGAAACTTGGACCTTCAACACAGCAATGAGAGAGGGGGCAACAAGATGATGAGAGGCATAGACAGAGTGAATACCCAGAGACTTTTTCCCAGGGCAAAAATGACTATTATGAAGGGGCATAATTTTAAGGTGATTGGAGGAAGGTATAGGGGAAATGTCAGAGGTAGGTTCTTTACGCAGGGGTGGGTGTGTGGAATGCGCTGCCAGCAGTGGTAGTCAAGTCAGATACATTAGAGACATTTAAGTGACACTTGGATAGGCACATGGATAATAGTATAATGTAGGGTATGCAGGATAGTTTGATCTTAGTAGAATCATAGGTCAGCACAACATTGTGGGCCGAAGGGCCTGTACTGTGCTGTACTGTTCTATGTTCTTAAGTGGATATACTGAAGCCCAAGATTGGAGCGACAGTGACATCACAGGGAAGTGGTGGGCTAATTGGTTCATGATTTTACAAATGTGTATTTTTAAGACAAAGGGATTAACTGAGAAACAACAGATAAAAGTGAAAAGGCCAATATAATAAGGTTAAGGGAAGTATAGTTAGCGCAAGGGAAGTAAGTTAATAGTATTCTAACATAAGCACAATTGATTTATTTTTCAAAACATATATACTTTTTAAAACATTAAGAGGTCTAAGATAAGCCATGGCAACAGAGTTTACACCTGTGAAATGCTCCTCCTGCATGATGTAGCAAATCATGGAAGCTTCAGTTGTCCTGGTGACCATGCGTGCAGGAAGTCTGTCCAGCTGCAGTTTGTAGTAAGCCGCATTTCAGAGATGGACTTAAACAAGGAATGGGGAGGGCTGAAAGGGGCAATGAAATTTCCTTGGTAAACTGGATTAAAGAAAATCTTGAAGCCTTTTATTGATATAAAAGGAGCAAGGGAGAACCTAGGGAAAGGGTAGGTCCACTTAAGGACAAAGGAGGATATGTATGTATGGAGCCTACTAAGTGGGTGAGGACCTTAACAAATACATTGCATCAGTATTCATAAAGGAGAAGGACATGGTGGATGGTGTGTGTAAAGAGGGGTATGTTGATATTCTAGGATATGTCGATACAAAAAAGGTGCTGGGTGTTTTGAAAAGTATTAAGGTAGACAAGTCCCTAGGACCCGATGTGATCTATCCCAGAATACTGAAAAAGGCAAGAGAGGAAATTACTGGGCCTTGTATGTAATTTTGTTATCCTTTTTAGTTACAGGAGAGGTCCCAGAAGACTGAATAATAGCCAATGTTATTCCTTGTTTAAGAAGGACAACAGGAAGGCTGATGAGCCTTATGTCACTGGTAGGGAAATTATTGGAGATGATTTGTAGGGTTTATTCAAATTTGGAAAAATATGAATTTATTAGCAACAGGCAGCATGGCTTTTTGCCAGGGAGATCATGTCTTAGAAAGTCGATTGATCTTTTTGAGGAAGTGAAAAAGCCAACTGATGAGGACAAAATAGTAGATGTTGCCCACACAGACATTAACAAGCTCTTTGACAAGGTCCCATGGTAGGTAGATACAGAAGGTGAGGTCACATGGAATCCGTGGTGAGCTGGTATGATTGATGTAGAAGTAGCCTGGTCATAGAAGACAGAGAGTAGGGTTGGAAGGGTGTTTTTCTGACTGGAAATCAGTGACAAGTGGTGTTCCGCAGTGATCTGTGCTAGGACCCCTGGTGTTTGAAATATCTAGATAAATGATTTGGGAAAGAATATAGGTGGTCTGATGAGTAAATTTGCAGATGATACAAAGGGAGCTGCGAATAGTGAGGTGGATTGCCAGATGACACAACAGGATATGGATAGCCTGAAGAGTTGGGCAAAGCAATAGTAGATGGAATTTAATCCATGCAAATGCAAGCTGCTGCATTTTGGAAGGTCTGATACAGAAGAGAAGTATACAGTAAATGGCAGAGCCCTTAGCAGCATCAACAGAGGGATTTAGGCATACCGTTGCAAGTTTCATGAAAATGGCCACACAAGTGGATAAGGTAGTCAAGAAGGCATATGACATGCTTGCCTTCGTTGGTCAGGGCATAGAGTTT